CAGCGCTTCCCACCCGTGGCTGGTGAGGGTGCTGAGCTGGAGGTGTCCTCTCTGCCTTGGTTTCTGCTTTGCTCCGCTGCAGGGAGCGCCTGCAAACCAGCCCTGTGTGAGGAAGCAGCAGCCGTGGGCCAGCTGGGCAAAGAGCTTTGTCTCAAGGCTTTTCTGCCTCGGGTGCTGGGAAGTCCATGGCCAGTGGCGTCCTGGCACTTGACTGTCAGGGAGCTAAGGAGGGAGACCTCTGAGGTTTGGCTACTCAGACGGAGGAGGTTCAGGAAAGTTGAGTCTGAACTGGGGTTTTTCTAGTCTTGAACACTCTCGCCTGCAGCCCCTTGGAGGTGGATGGTTGAGAAGCAGCTGTGCCTCCTGAAGGTGCTTGCTGGGGACTGAACCTGGGGGCGTCCTGGCACTTGACTGTCAGGGAGCTAAGGAGGGAGACCTCTGAGGTTTGGCTACTCAGACGGAGGAGGTTCAGGAAAGTTGAGTCTGAACTGGGGTTTTTCTAGTCTTGAACACTCTCGCCTGCAGCCCCTTGGAGGTGGATGGTTGAGAAGCAGCTGTGCCTCCTGAAGGTGCTTGCTGGGGACTGAACCTGGGGAAGCTGCAGGGCAGGTGGGTGCTGCCCTGACTGGAGATCTGGGGCTCTTGTGCTGGGCTGTGGGCTCAGAGCAATGGCTGGATCGGGGTTGGGGTCAGTTTGTTTCCAAAAACCCCCCTGGGGGTTTTTGTACTCCTCTTGGTAGCTGCTACAGTGGCTTGGTTTTGTATCAGTGGGGCTGTGTAGCACAGCGTAGGAGTAGGTTTTTAAACAATTTAAATACAATTTGTAGGTGAAAAGAGGCTGTGTTCTGGCACATCGGTATTTTAAGGGAAGTGAAAGTATTGTCTAACAGAAGTCTAGCTAGTTAGATGGGCTCATTAGGGAAATGTGTATTGCAACTTGTTAGGCTTTAATCACAAGGTGTTCTACATTAATGACCCTAGCTGGCTCACAGAAGTGCTTAAGGGACAGACAGGAGTGCCAGAAAGGCAGTTGCAGGGCAGTGAGGGAAGTGCTGGGTAAATGAGTACAGGGCTGTGCACCCACATGTGCAGCGCGTCTTCTGATGAGATGGCAGAAGGCTGTATGGGAGCAGGCTCTGGAGGTCACTTCTCTGAGCAGCTTTGTACTGGTCACTGTCAGGTCTGTGTGTCCCTTCTGCTCTGGTGGGAGAGACCGGGCAACCCTGAAAGAGGGGAAACAAGGATTAGTGCAGGTTTTGTGCCGTGAAAGGGTGGTTGCCACCTGCTACTGCCCCTGTTGCAAGGGGGAATCAAAGCATAGGTTTTGGGCAATTTGGTGGCTTTGCCTTTGCTGCAGGGCAGAGCCGTGGCCTGGTTGGGCAGCTTGGTTGCTGAGCAGTGACGTGGTGACCTGCCCTTCCCTGGCTCTGAATGTCCCCGTTGGCAGAGGCAATGTAGGAATGTGTTACTCTTGAGCAGCAGAGGTTATGTCTTTGACTCTCCATACTCTGACTGCTGTGTCCTTAGCAAAAGTTTGTTCCTCTCTGCAGAGTATGAAGCTGCAATGGACAGAAGGTTTGGGCTGGAACCAGGGACTGTCTTTCGGGGACTCAAAAAGGTAGGATGGATGACTGGTACCAGCATCTTATATTTTGTGGCAATAATGCTAACATCATGTCTCTATGCCCTTTGCTCACCGAGCTTCTGATTTAGCTTCAGAGGTTTGTAGTAGCTTTGCAGATTTGGATGTTGATAGTTCATTTTAGTCTTTTTGTTTCTAATGAGGAAGGCGGCCTTGACAGGTGTGGTGATCTAAGAATCATAACCAGAGTTTTGTTTCTTTTCTTGATCCCTGGCCTTAAGTGTTTCTCCTTTGTTACATCACATAATAGCCTTCTGTTTGGCCTTAAAAGCTGTGATCACCCTTGACATTTCCTGCAGCCTTTTTCCCCCTTTTTCCTGTCACTGATGGCTTGGATAATGCTTAACAGCAGTGAGCACACATTTTCCTCTTAGTTGGCCTGTAGTCCAGCATAAAGGAGAACAGATTTTTTTGAGGCATAAGGGCCTAAAGAAACAAGCTTGGTCTCAAAAAATGAGTAAGAAAACTAGCACACCTCTACCTTGAACAAAAAAAACCACCAAACCTCCCCTGCCGTTGCTTGCTTTTAACCTCACTTCATTTTGAAGAAGTGCAACTAACATATGCAATAATGCAACTAACTTTGAGGATGACTTACACAAGACCAGGAATATATGTCTAATGGAAGTATTCTGGTGTTTTGGCCCACTGTCACTGCTGACAAGGACCCTTGACATGTCCTTTCCAGAAAACTATAAAGCAATTGTGGAGATGAACTTTTAGTGGGGCTCTGTAGGGGACACAAGGCTACCAACAGATCCCTCTTACCTAATTTAGGTAAAAACGCTGTGTCACAGGAATCTCTAGCTGAACTGGTTCATCTGATCCCACCTAGGCTTTGCTGAAACAGGGAGTGAAAATTCTCTTTGTTAAAGATTTTGTCCTCACACGAGTGGGTTACACTAGGTATTGCTTTATTCACAACTCGGAGTTGGGCCATCACCTCAGTGAGTGGCAAAGCTTAACTCGCTAGACCAGTTTATATACATCTATTAAACCGATTACATCAAGTCTAGAATCTTCACAAGTTTCTAAGCAACCGTTCCGTTCCTTTAAGTACATAATTTATTAAATTCTTTCTATTCTTCTGTCTTCGTAGAATTCTCCCTCGCTGGTTTCAGGCCTTGGTTGGTTTCAGGGTCGTCTCGGAGTCGTCGTCTGTCCTTCATCTTCTTTTGTGAATTCTGTTTGATACAATCCATACAATTGGTTTCTATCCCAATTGCAACATACCGATTGTATGGTGTCTTAACACAGCTGTGTTTACACAACTGAATCTACCTTCTAGCTCTATGATTTTATTCTATTCTATAATCAATCTTTATAATCAATCTCTTAACACTCTTCCAGCAAGGTCCATTTTTACCCAAGCTCTTGGTTTTGTAAGGCAGAGCAGAGTTGCTCTCTGAACCCCACAGGAGAGGTGAGGGGCACGCACAGGAAGGGCAGTGCTCTGCTTCTGTGTTGCCTTTCTTAAAAAGGCTGACAGAAGTTGAAAAAAGAAAAATTCCTGGATAAACTTTGCACGAGTTAAGGATAGTGCAAAACTGGGGTTTTTTTTTCCCTTCTAAAGGAAGAAATCCTAAAATTAAAAGGATCAGGGCAAGCAGAGGTGTGAATTTGGATTTGAAGAGATGGCCAGGAAGAGTAGTAGCAGACTAATTTGTTTTCCAAGAAGCTTCCTGATGGGGAACCAAAGCAAGGACATGTTGGGGTAGGAAGCTCTGAGAAGTGGGACCCTTGTTCCGGGCTGCATCTCTGTGTAATCACCAGCCTGTTCCACATGTCCTGAGGAGACGTGTGTGCATATGAGTGCCTCCCTGCCTGCTTTGTGGTTAGAAGACTCCCACGGTGTTCATGGGGAATGGCAGTGATTGCTGCTCAGTCCGGTTCAATGCTAGCATGGGGTTTAGGAGTTACGACACCATCTGAAGCTCTTTTTCTGAATTTCACACCACTTGAAGTCAAATGGAACTCTTGGAAGTCACAGCTGTAAGCGATCAGACTGCATTGCTGAAACAAGACTTTCCCCAGGTGTTGAGTTCTGTGGTGTTGGGTAACAGACCTGATGTGTTACGGAAATTTTACTTGTCCTGTAAGAGCATGCTTTTATGGCCAGATGCACATACTGACCAGTTCCCTTGATGCCCCAGGACCCCATGGACTTTGAGTGGAGCTACTGGATTGAATGGGGAAGGGAACGTATACTGTGGCTTCTGGCTGGTCACCTGCTGGTATCGCAAGTGTCCAGGCTCTTGGCGGAGAAGGTATGTATGGAATTTCTTCACAGCGGGGAGTTTCTGTGGGATTCAGTTAAGTGTGGGCATGGGAACCTTGGCTTTGGGGCTACAGAGTGTGGGAAATCCCATTCTGTGGGGTGAATTGTGTGAGTGGGTCTGTAACGATGCACAGGTGAGCATGAGTAGGTAGGTTGCCTGAGGTCTGTGTTTGGAGACTTCAGCTTCTAACCCTTGAAAGCATGTTACTTGTTGTGAACCATTAACCAGTGTCAATTGACCTGTTACACAAAAGGAGGGTGTAGTTATTCCCTTCCAAGACTATAAAGTGATGACTGCTTGGGTTTTGGCATGATTGCATGGTTCTGGGAAATGACTGGCATGTGGTGTCACACCTGCTAGTTTGCGGAAGCAAAGAAAGAAGTTGTGTGGTCCCTCAGATCAGGAAGGCTCTTAGTTTCGCATGTGCTGCTACAGAACCCCCTTATCTTCCATTTTTATGGATACAGTTGGGTTTCCCCGAGTTGTTTCCCCGAGTTGTTTTATGTGTTCTTAACCTTGTTGACTGCATTTGTTTCTACTGTAGACCCTGCATAGGACAGCACAAATAGTGAGTGCTTGATTTCCTTTAGAAATAATAAAACTAAAAATTGTTCTTTTTTATTTTTCTAACAGTATAAACCATGGTGCTTAATGGTTTATGGAATGGCTGCCTGCTGGTTGTTACTGGGAATCAAGGGCTTTGCTGTCATTTTGTTACATGCAACTATTTCATTTGCTGTGGCTCAGTTTCAGCTGTCACTCCTGACATGGTTGTGCTCCCTTATCCTGCTATCCACTTTACGCATACCAGCTGTGGAAGAAGCTAAGGTAATGTGAGAAAGACTAATTAAGCATCAAATTAATTATGGTGGTGTTTGTCCATTATGGCAGTTATCTTTATGACAGAGTGCTATCCCTTCAGTTGATGTAAGCAGAGGTTGGCTGGAAAAACCTTAGGTGGTAGAGCTGCAGTGACTTATGCTGGAGCTGCTCCAGTTAGAAAAGTTGTGTTTCTCAATCATGTTGGCTGGTGCATTGTGATGAAAGTATGTGCCTTAATGTGTAAGTGGTAGTCAGGAGAGCTGGAGCACAGTGATACTTCACTAGTGCTCTAGTAAACACATTTCTTATTCGTTGGAGCTATAATCATAACAAGATGCTGGATTTTGGGTTCATATCCAGGAGCTGCTTAGTCAAGCCTGTCCATGCTTTATTGGTGACTGCAGGCTTCTGTATGGGAAAGGAGACTGTTTCGCCAGCACTGTGGTTTGTACCAGATGAATTGCTTGCTTATGACTGGTTGGTGCAAGCTCAGTTTTTCTCTAAGGACTTTTGCTGGGCAGTACAGATTTTAGACAAACTGCTGCTCAGTTGTGAGGAAATGTCCTTATTGCATTTACTTGGACTAAGGGGAAGAACTTGGACATGTGTTTAAAGGCTTGTTGTTCTGATGTTCAGTGGGGTGGCAGAGGGGAGATGAGTGGGTAGGGTCTCCTCACATGGTGTAGACAGATTTGTGTCTCACTGAGGGGGGAAAAAGCCCACTGCAATATAAATGTAATCAGCCAGACTGTCTGCTGGTGTTTCCAAGTTTTCTTGTGATGATGTGTTCTTGCTGTGGGAAATAGGTGTGATGGTGTCAAAAACTAGATAAAGGCTCACTAGCATCTTTCCAGTCTTGGGCTTCCTTAGGAGTGACTTGATTCTCTTCAGATCTGGACAGCTGCCTTGGCTTCAGCCCTAGCAGTCCCTTGGCTGTCTGTAGGGTTGCCAGCTAGTTTGGATATTGTATTACTGGACCAAACCTGAGGGAGATAATGGCATCCTGTAAGAACAGCTCTCTGCTGTCATAGTTCTTCACAACCTAATATATTTCTGAAATCAAGCTATTATCTCTTTGTACTGGTTGCAGTAGCTCTTTCTCCATCAACAGCCAGTGTTTGTTGTTCATGCATTAAGTGGTGCTGTTCACTTCAGATGCTCGTTCCAACTGACGGAGGATGCTTCCTGCTGCTGGTGACCCTGAAAGTTAGGGTCTGGGTGGACATCGCTCTCCTGCCATATTGAAAATATACTGCTTTGCACCATTGTGATCCGGCTTTGTTTTGTCTTACAGAGAAAGTGGTACGACACAGAAAACGAGTATTATCTGCTGCTCTTCACAGTGTCTGTCCGCTGTCTCTTCTGCACTAGCTTCAGCTTGGAGTACTGCTGGCATGGACCTGCCCAGAAGTCATCCCACTCGTTCCTGTGGATGCTGGCATACGTGTTTTATTATCCCACGTTCCACAATGGACCGCTTTTGAATTTTGATGAATTCAGTAAGCAGGTAACAGTGTTCTTGAGATCAAGCAGTTACAGATTTTTAGTGCATCTGCACCTCGGGTGGATTGGGTGAAGAACTATTGAAGCGGCTGGTGATGTCTTTTCAGATGCCAAATCTAGACACAAATCCTGTACTTTGAGTAGATTGAAGCATGATAGGTTGTTTTTTTCCTCATCTTGAGAAATGTCAATACCAAGCATGAGAGTGTGTTATGTAGGCAATTTCATCCAGTTTTCCTTGAGAACTTTTTTAATAGTGTGTTTCATAATGTGGTTTATAGGTAAGCCTGAGTTTCTATTTATTTTCTAGTTACCTACTTGTCAAAAATTGCTACTGATGAGACTTTCAAACAGAAGGTGTTCCTAATGTTAGGCTGTATCTAATATCCTTTTCTCTGTAAGTGTTGAAGTACGCTGCATGTGAAAGGTGAGGCTGTAGTTAGAAACCTGTCTTGGGTATTCATGTTTGTATGCCAGCCATGGCATAATACTGAACTCACATAAGGCTGGTGACTAACACTGAGAATATATTTAGTCAAAACATATTGTCAAAATAACTCTTTATATGTAGTGCTTAGAAAGCAAAACAGTTTTTGAAGGCTGGATGACTAATCTTCTTTATCAGACTCTGATCTCTCTCCTTCTGAAATATTTTTCCCTCACGAGGTAGGGGGGGGGGGGAAGGGGGAGGAAAAAAAACCCTGACCAAAGCCGAACTACAGAAAAGGAGTTTTCATTCATGTATATTTTGACTGCAGTTAAAGCGTCTGTAACTGGTTCTGTAATATTTTTTTGTCATTACTAATGATTTCAAGAATTTAAATTTTTACTTAGTCCTCGGAGTTTAAGAAGTGTTTGGGTGTCTAAAGCAATCTTCCACGTGATTTTGAAAATATCAAACAACGTTCTCGGATTGTGAAGACTGGACAATTTTGAGCATAGCATTGGGAATTTGACAATGTCTTGGATATCGTGTTTAAGACAAACCTTCCTCCCAAAGTTCTTTTACTTTACAAGATGTTTTTTTGTCTGGCATTAGATTCATCCTCTCAACCAGGGAGCCAGTGACACATGTTGTAACATTTGGAGAGTGTTCATAATTTTAGCACGTAGCTGCTGAGCTAGATTTTTGTTTTGCTTTCCTCTGTCAGGTGGAATAAAGCAACATTTTCAGTAGCAGCTGGCTGTTAACTCTGAAACAGATTTCAGAGTCACAGAAAGCTGCTGGTTTGTATTGGGAATTCCTGAAGACCCCAGTGTCCCTCATGTTGGTGTGAAAACAGCTGATGATTTATTTGGAATGCTTTTCCTCAGACTTTAGCAAGCTGACCAGCTCCTTTAATATGAAAGACCTTCCTATCTTACTGCACATTTTTTCTAGTGCCTTGCAGGCTGCTTTTCAAGCCTGCTTCTACGTGACAGGGCCAAACCCCAGACTTCTGTGCTTTATTGCTTTACTTATTTGCTTGCACACCGGAGTGATATGCGAAACCACCACCCGTGCTGTCTATAGCTAACGTCATTGGGATAAAGTGGATGAGTGGACGTTTCAGAAATTAAAACAACTGTTTCAGTTTATGTATAGAAGCCTAGGCATTGCTTGCTTCTGTTTATACTTGGAAATTTTCTGAAGCCACAGCAAATAAACTGAGCTTTATGAAGGTGAAAACTGAGATTCTGGTGGACCTCTGAGTGACAAGTCCTATGCTCATTTGTCTTCAGTAGCTTTAGAAGAGGCAAGGCTCAATGTTGTTATCCTGGGTCGGAAGTTGTAGGAAAAGTCCGCATAGACTTGCATAGAAACTGAGGTGTTTTTCTTTTTTTACTGCTTATTGTTTTGTAGCTTTTGAAGTGTGTTAAATTCCACCTATGTTCTTGTACCCCTAGCAAAGGAAGAGTTTTTTAAGGAACGTTCCAGTAGATGTGTGAGACTCCCAGGTTGAGAGCAGCTTGGAGGTAGCTGTTAGGAACAATTGGGGGGGGGCGAGGTCTTGTATTGAAACTGAGCTCATCTGATATGGCTCAGCAAAGGCCACCTGTATTCTTGGTGTGAGGAGAAAAAGGAAGATTGAGATGGGATGTCCGTATTTGCAGTGGGTTCTCGTTTAAATATGCACAGACTTGTTTTCTTAAAGCCGTAAAGAAGACAGAACAAACTGAACAACCTTAATGTGTTTCTTGTTGGTGTTTGAAGTGTGTTGTCAGAGCTCTTGCCTGAGCAGAGGGTGTTGCCTTGACAGTTGAGGTTGGAGAAGGTCTCTGAAGTTTGCAGTACCCAGCAGTTGATTCAAAGTGCACAATACAAAGAGTGCATTTATTGCTGCTATCAGAAAAGACCACCTGCAGAACCTTTTAACTGAAATTGAGACTGAGGTGGGAGATCCTGCTGAGCACACTGGAAAGCAGAAGTCCTGGAGAGGGAGACAGAAAAACTGCTGCATGGCCCAAACAGTGCAATACCAGTGCTGGCAATTGGCATCCATTGCCAGGCAAAAATGAGAGACTGTGACACTTCATCAGTGGCCTTGTTGAATTTCTGGGTTGAAGCAGGGTATAGCAGTTCTAGTCATGGGTTTGAAGGCCTGTTGTGCAAATCGCTGCAACTAAGTGGTAGTCTCCAAGCTTTCATCTAGCTGGTACAAGTGAACCTTCAAAATGAGCATCCTGCTTCATTTGTAAGTGAGCAGCACTAACTGCATGTTAGCTGTACTGTGTGTTTGCAGTTATGAAGGAGGTTGGTTGGCTATCTTGTAGGTGCATTTTTGGTGGCCAGTTAGAGACTGGAGAAGGAGATGTTGTGCACACAACAATGATGGATGTACAAAACATTACTACATTTTTAGGCAATCCTATGTTTCTGTTATTTGATCATATTCTCTTTCACTGCGGAAAGAAGGTAAAAGAATAGTATACCAATGTGTTTGCTATAGTCGGCAACATAAGAGTCTGGGGCATCTGGAGAAGCCTGTGAACTGCAAACCTTGTCTTATCTGATACTTAACTTGCACTTAACTGCCATTTGTTCAGTACACCGTGTAGGTCTTGCTGACCTTGGCAATGCCACAGGAGAAGAATGAAGAACTGTCCTCAAATAATCAATCTCATGCAGCCTGGTAGAAGTTGGAGGTATTTTAAGTGCAAGCAGTCAAAGCCTTCCTAGCTGTAGTTTCTTTAAACTTCTTTGATTATCTCTGAGGCTGGTTAAGTTACAGGAATTAGTCTCATGCCTGGATTCTGTTCAGGTTAACAGCACTTGGCCTCTTCTACAACAGTTTGGTGCAGTTCTGTTCACATTTGGCCGCTTGTTGATTTCTACTGCTTACTGAGATTGAGAGTGGACAGACCAATCTCCCTCAAGAGTATGTCAGGAATTTCGAAATGGCGTTGTCAAATGGTCTGCTTAGTAATGAATAGCAAATGAAATTTAAAAAAATTCTCAGGATGAGTATTTGAGTAAAACAGTCAGTTGTGTGCCATATAATGTCTTTGGATTTCTTCTTTAGATGAGGAGACAAGAAGCCTTCAATTTGAAGACCAATCTCAGCATCTTAATCATGGGCGTAATTCGTGTTTTCTTTTGGTGGTGTCTGGCTGAGCTGATGATTCACCTCATGTATATCCATGCTCTCTACAGCAGTGCTGCACCTCTGGAAGCTGCATCATACTGGGCCTTGGGTGAGTATAGAAACAATAGCAGGAATCTCCCTTCACCCCCTCTTTAAGAACCTCGATCTACATCTCTTTTATGCCCATCTATAGGTACTTATGAATAGTACATTATGGCCAGTCACTGTTGGAAAGGTGTGTGTCTAAACTTTGGTCTAAAGTGGCTTTTCCCTCTCAAGTCATAGAAGTGGACTCTAAAGAAGTTTGTTTGATATGGAGATGGAGGAGGGGAGACGTTAATGATCTCCTTCTGTATTTGATGTTTCTAGTTTGTATTCAAGTTCAAAGGTAAAATGCCAGCACTCATGAAGAGAGCAGAGGGAAGGAACTGCAAATGGGGTGGCCTGAAAGTAGCAGTCAGAGTCTCTCAGCTCCGTTTTCCTGCTTGACTTCCCCCTCCCAGCTCCCTGTTATTTCGTTAAAATACCTAAGTGTAGGGGAGGAAATGAATGCTGATGAATGTAGTGCAAAATGGCAAGAGCTTTGGGTGCTGGTATGTGGGTAGGTGTAGATTGGTTTCATTTTTTCCACTGTCCTATGTGTATCACCAGGTAGGAAGAACAAAAGCAGAGAAACCCTAGGCCTTAAAACTGGGTTCTGAAAAAGCCTTGGTGATTGCTGAATTGAAGGAGATGCCTTTTGCTATACCAGCAAGTAACAAGAATCGATACACACACACTGGTATGGTCCTGTCAAGCATTCATTAGAGATCATGTACGGGGTGGGGGGTGTGTGTTGGAGGATGCTTGTGTGTCGGACTTCAGTCAGTAGAGGGCATTGTGTACGCTCTGTCTCTACGCAGTTAATATACATTTCAATATGTAATTTTGTATATATAAAACAAAGCAAGAGCAGATGGAGAGCAGCGAGATGTTTGCCTCCATGGTTCATTCTACTCGGTCTCTGTTGAGAAAGTGGATTCTGAGTTTTCATTTTCTGTTCTAAGTGCCAATTCATTGATGAATTAAATCTGTTGGCTTCCGGTGTTGTTGGTATGTTACACAAAAAGCTTTGCTGCATTACTGAGCATGTGGAACCTGGTAAGTGCTGGCCACTGGATAAGGTGGGCAAGGCTACAGAATTAGGGACGAAAATTTCCAGCTTTGGTGTTACTGGTGCATTCCTCCCTCCCTTCAAAACTACCAATGTTGATTTTTTTTAAAAAGAGGGGAAAATGTTACTTTCCAGACAATAGTGAAGTAGGCTATCTATTTATTTGATGAAATCAAGTGTTATATCCTAAGAATTAAAATGCATTTTGAACAGGTGATTAGAAAAGGCTAAAATGTCTCAAAGCAACAGGTGGTGAAAGTCAGTGTTTGGATTGTAAAGCTGCCTGATTACAAGATGATCATCTGAATTGAAACAAGTCCCCTGTGGAGACCCTGCTTTTAGGGAGAGGTATGTTCAAAGTGTTAACCCTACTCTTGTTGACCTTTGTCTTCGTGGTAGTGAGAGCAGGATGTTCAAGTATTATTGTACAAATGAGATTTTGAGGCAGAAGTTAGTCACTTTTTAAAATGTTTCCTCTACAAGTTTTACCACAATGATTATACAGGTGTCCTTAGACAAGTGTCAGGACACTGTTGTGACTTGCTTTAGGGAGCCAATGATATATGAATGAGGGTATTGGTTGTATTTTTCTGTTGACCCTTTCCGGATCCTTATGGATCTTACCAGCTTCTACACCAGTTCTTGCACAGAGCCAAACACTTCTCTCCGTTATTTCGCATTCCGTGTTATTAAAACCAATTACATCAGATAACTGAGTCTCGAGACCAAGGAGGCAGCTTGTTGTTGATTCAGGAGAATTAACCACATGGTATTTTAGCCTTTCTGCACTGCTTGTTTTTTTGTTCTTCTTTTGTTTCCCGTTTAACTATAGAAGCTTCAAAGCAGCATGGGGTGTCTAATTACGTCGTGATGCCTGGCTGCCCCAATAGCCTGGTAAACTTAGGGGAAAGGTTGTGAGGCTGCCTTGCAGTTATCTCTAATTAGGGAGGTTGTAAATGCTCCTGCATGATTCTTCTGGGATATTTTCGAACAACAGGCAATAAATGCCAGCGGTGCAGGTAAAGGCAACAGTGCTGTGAGATTTTGCTCTTAAGGGTGATGATGATAGTCAGTATACACCTCAGAAGTGTGAAGCTACATAGCATTCTGCATTACTTTGTGTGTTGTTCCTGTGAGATGAGAATGCAAAGAAATAAAAAAACAAAACACAGCCTGAGTTGCAATGCTGATTTAAAAATGCCAGTGTACAACATTAATAAATGTACATGGCCATAAATGACAAGGCGGAAATGCTGAAGTTACCTGAAGTAACATTACTGAGTGCACACAGGTATAAACTTAGGAAAATATAGTACATGGGAGAATGCGGTACCCAGCAGTAAAAGAAGTATTTTCTCTTGTGTGGAAGGAATTAGGCAAATGAGTTTCTAGAAGCAGCGATGTACAAGATGGTGCATGTATGGTTTTGATACCTGTGTGGTTAACTGTAACAAAGGTGCAAGCTGCCTTCAACATTACTGTTTGCATGCATTAGCTGCTACTGGTAGATTTTGTGAATTGTATGGTTGTTTTTTAAACTTTTTAAATTTTGAAACTTGTGTCCTTTTGCAACTAAGCCAAAGATCCTGTTAGGTAAAATATTCAGATTCTTGTCGCCTTTTACAAGCCAGTACCTGGATTACTGTAACAGCACTTTTGCCTATAGGTTGCGTTACCTCACTCCTTCCAATTCATTTGCAAATGCCTAGTTCTGTGTATTCCACTACTCTTCTGAATGTGAGCCTGTCAAGTCAGTGCAGAATTTCTCGCTTTCTAGAGGAAGCCACTTTCTGTCCCAGATAACCCAGCTGAGCAGTGTGTTTCTTGTGACACGTTACTGTAGTGTCTTAAAGGCTTGGAGGGTGTTGGAGCGTTGCCTTTACCCTTTGCTTGTTGAATATCCTCCAGTCTCTTTATTGGCTGTCTAATCAGGGTAGATCAAGCCTTTCTCTTCGATAAACAGTGATGTGGCACATACTTTCCTGCATTGTTGTACCGTGGATGGAAGAACTGCTGTAATTGAAGTATCTGTGCAATCTCTTTAATTGCTGTTATATGCAGGTTTTGTTTGTAACTGGCAAGTTTCAAGGTCATTAGCTGGGCGATAAGAGTGTTGGGAATTGTGAGCAAAAGACTAAACACAGTGCATGTGTAGTTCTTGTAAAGGTAGACCTTTCGATTGTCTCCAAGTCACCCCTGTTTTCCTGAATTACTCCTCTCCCTACTTTCCCTAACTTGTGCCTGGAAAGGCAGCTTATTTTCTTGCCCTGTGGGTCAGCGAGCCATGGAAGTACATAGTCAGCAACCTGCTCTGAGAGACAGCGGGTTGCATCCTCTGTGCATCAATCCTTTAATAAGTAGGAAAGTGTCTTGTTTGTACCGTGGGCCCTGGATTTTGGGAAGTTTAAATGAAAAATGGCTGGAGTCCTAGCTGGAGAGTCCTTTGAAGTACAGCTTTCTTAAAACTATTCTTTGTATTATTTAGAAGAACTTCTTTACTGAAAGAGAAAAAGGACGTTCATTATTTAAGCTTTTCAGCTAGACAGTACACTGTCTATTGTGTAATTGTTTTCTCTGTGTTGAAGATTTATAGCTGTATTTCTGTCCATGGTATGAGAAAAGCTGGTTGCATCCACATCTTCCATGGACTAAATGGAAAATTATTGTGGATCTGTTTTTGGGATGTCTCCTCCCCTGCTCAATACTGCAATACCCAGGTATTGCATAGATGTCAGAATTTCTTCTACCACATATTCCTCCTCACATTTAAATTGTTTCCTTTAGCATTCTGCACATACTTCTTTAAACTTGCATGCTTATATTGCAACAAGCTGCGGTACTGGAGACCGAATGCCATGTGCATTAACAAAAAGCTGCATTGTATGGGTCTGAAAAAAGTGTATTTTCATGCTGAGTACTCAGCATTAATTTAGTTTCTGCAGTCACCTATGTTTGGAAGCAAGAATAACCTCCAAGAGGAAATGTTAGCCTCTGGTATGGAGGAAGAGGAGGTGGTGAGAGCTAGCTTTGGGTAGAGGTGCTTTTAGATATGCAAATATTAACTCTTTTGGGTAACTTTAAGTATAAATTCTTTCCAGTCAGCACCCATAGCTCTAGCCCCCACCAGAGACTTTATTCTTCTCTGTGTAGGGCCGTGGGAATCTTGCTCCCTGTCTGGATGTTGGGGAAGGCATTCAGCCATACCCTCTGGAGAGTGTGAGATAGAGAACACAAAATCCACATGAAATCTTGTACTTCAGTGACTCTTGTACTGGCCTGTGTATTCCTTTCATGGAGTTGGCTCCAGCGGTACCCCACTCTCCCAGCAGAAGACATTGCTGCTCTCCAAGACTCACCAGGCATGATGAGCATGTGACAGCACGCTATTAAGAGCTGCTCATGGGCTGGGCTTCGCTGCTCGCCTCTGAATAGCTCATTCCTCAGAACTCTTTATCCTGACACCCCTGTCCTTGCAGCAAACCTTGGCTTCAAATCCTTTTCTGCAATGCTGATCATCTGTGGTAGGATTTATATGAGAAGCCAGGTGATAGCAAGCAATATGGTTTTCCAGTGGTCAGATATTAAGTCCCACATCAGGAATAGAATGAAGAATGTGATGGGACTGTATCCTTAGTGTTTGGGTTTTTAATTGTCTATACCCGTTTGCTGTAAATGTATGGCCCTTCAGTTTGTGGGAGAGATGTTAATGTCTGAACACAGAACTAATTTAGAGATGTTAGCTGGGCAGCGTGGTACTGTTATTGATTGATCCCAGGAAGCCAGTGTTTGGAGAATGAGAGCATTTTCTAGAATTCACAAATCAGTGTGTCTGTATTCACAAATATTTGTGTCTGTGAGTAATTAGCTGTTTGCATATTGAACAAAATCAGAGCATTTGTGCTTATTTAACTCTGAGCACCAAATGCAGTGTTTATAGCAATTCCATGTGATTCTGT